AGCAGATGGCTCCGCCCCTCCCTGAGCCTGGTTCTGCCGGAGGTTTCTTCCTGTTAAAAGGGAGTTTTTCCTTCCCACTGTCGCCAAAGTGCTTGCTCACAGGGGGTCATATGATTGTTGGGTTTTTCTCCATATGTATTATTGTAGGATCTACTGTGCAATATAAAGCACCTTGAGGCGACTGTTGTTGTGATTTGGCGCTATATAAATAAAATGTAATTGAATTGAACTGAATTGAATATAAGTCCTACACCACAAAAAATAGATTGGAGCCAACTAATAACCATGGTTCTGTGTTTTGGAAACATTACTGTAAATACAATGGAACCTTTTTAGAAAATTTATGATGTGATAATGAAAATGTAAGCTATGCTGAAAAATACATAAAAAGCAAAAATGTCAGAATTAGAATCATCTTTATTTGGCCAAGTTTGTACAAGCAAACATGGAATTTGACTTTCATTAACTTTGCTCTTCAAGTTGAAAGAAGTTAAATAGGCAGTATATACATATTGTATAGAATTTCGAAATGAAGGAGTAGCGGCTCCAGTCTTAGACTCTCTTGGATGACTGAACTCCTCACTCTGTCTCTAAAGACAAGGCCAGTGTAACACCAGCAAACATTTGGAGAATGTTTTCCAAATGATTTTCCACCAACTATACACAATCTGGTTTTTTTGGTCACCACTATGGAGGGTGTGTGTGGAGGGAGTGGTACAGGGCTCTGAGACAGCAGCTTGACTGCCTTTTTAGACTCGTGAATAATATTCACAATGACAATGATCTAACACCCAGAGGTCTGCATGAAGCATTTCATAGTGTCTAACAAGCCCTGTACAGTTGAAAGTAACTACATGATGGAAACACAAACGTATTCTCTTTAAATCTTTTTTAAAAACTGTGTATACTCATGTGCTGTTTATTTAACAAAAAACACAAAGATCAGATGTTAATCGGATTTTGTTTGTTTTCTAATAATAATCACTTATCACATAAAGACAAACATTTATAACAGCCAGCTAGTGTTTAGAATACAGCTGCGTTAGTATAGCCTGAGCCTGGTTCTGCCGGAGGTTTCACTACTTAATGGACAGGCAGCAGAGCTTCTGCTCTAATTGACTGATTCTGTTTCAGTTTTAGAGTATGCTACCTCTGACTATTCAATCGGTAGATCATAATCTGTTTTATTCCAGGATTTCCCATATGGAAAAGATATATATAAATCTTATAAAGTTTGTATCTGTCTTGTGTGAAACTTGTATGAAAAGCATACAGGAGTGAAAACAGATATAAGATCCCTTGAAAAATTATATAAATGAAACTTTTATGTTTTGGATACTTACTAAAACAATATATGAAAGTAATGAGAAAGTGACCACTTTCACGAGTAAATCGTATAAGCCTTATATGATTCACTATATGAAGTAGGCCACATCTTATGCAAGTCTTTTTTAAGTTTTTACTATTTCTTTTCCATATGGGCTCTGTGGGCTCTGCATTTTGGTCCTCACCTTGCTAAAACCTTGACATTTAAGTCATGAACCAGCGTTGTGTCTACACAAGAGAGACACCTTAGTCAAAATTGAATTTTAATTTGTATCTTTGTTATAATGTTATAATATTTATAACATTTCATATTTAGATAACTTCCTTTTGTTTTAATGGTTAAACATTTCACTCACTGTGTTGCCATGGTGATGAATGTTACAGAGGTGTCCACCCAGGAAGCTTAAAATCAGTGCTGCTGTCTGGGTTAGATAAAGTGAGAGAGAGAGAGAGAGAGAGAGAGAACGAGAGAGAGAGAGAGAGAGAGACAGAGAGAGAGAGAGAATAAGTGTTTTATCAATTGTTGTGGAAGAAAAGTTCCCTCCACAAAAGTTTACTGAAGTCTTGTTGGGAACCCTGTCCTTTAATCTGAAGTGAGTCTCTGAATTCTTACTGTATTTCAAGACATTTGAAACTATAAACTAAAATGAATTCTAGTTTTTGAAATTAAACTGGACAGGATGTGTGTATATTGTGAATCACTGCTAGAGTTAATCAGCCAAACCACGGGTGAATTTCCAAAACTCCTGAAAAGTTTACATTTTAGTGTTGCTGAAGAAAAAACTTACCTCAATTATGAAACAATAATTCATTTTAAAAATATCAATGCATATTAGTTACAGATATTTTTTCTATCAAGTTGGTTCTGGATAGAGTTTAAAGTTGATTAGGATAGTTATGATATTTAAACTAATCCATCGTCTTACCTGTGTTGTCGGCTTCAGGCTCTGTGATATCTGAGGAGGCAGAAAGAGAAGAGGTGAGTCAGTGCCCACAGACTTTATACACCATAAGAAGAAGGGACGGCCCCTCTGCCCTCACAGAGTACTCTGATTTCACAGAAGGATTCATAATGTTTTACTTTTGGAATGTTCTTATTTGCAAATAGATGAAGACAACATGAATAAAATATTTGCAGCATATACTGTACATATGCTGAAAAACTACAATGACAAGCTGGTTTTACATAAGCCTGCAGATTTCTCAGTCATTAAACTAAAACTGACCCTAAAGTTCTACATGTATGAATTACACACTTTCAAATGTTGACACGTGTTGTCAACATTAGTCTTTTTTATACTGAATTATGAACTTCTTTGGAAATTACACTGGGGAAAGGTGCCATTATTTTACTTTAACTCTTCCTGCTTATTTTCCTCTCTGGAGGGTATTCATCATTTAATAAGTTATCAAATATATATTTTACATCTATTTTGATGATCTTTGCTCACTTACCTGTTTTGTTTTATACTATAAGGTATAAGAAAGAAAAAAAATTCACTAGCTGTCAAAAAATAATGTGTACACTTATGTCTGCATTTTTATTTTGTTAAATACGATTTCTTTTATTTGGTAGTTTAATGAAAAGCTTCAGTTAAGAGTGAGAAAAAAATGCATTCAAATTTGCAGTTTTGTCTTGTTATACAATATTTGAAATAAAACAAACAAACAAACAAAAAAAACACTACAGTTTAGGAATTATTAGTGGGTGATTTATTGTTTGTTTGCTCCTTTTTTTCATAATACTTGAACACTAAAGTGGCTCTCCAATGAGATGACAGTGCCAGCAGTGGCCCACACCTATTTAACTTTGTGACTCTTACTGTCCTATTAATGTTGGTGGCATCAGTGGATCCAGAGACAGCAGTGCACGGGCAGGTGGTAGCTAGTTGTGGTTATGTGGCACCTCAGTATCTTTGATGTACTATTGCTGCGTGATTTATTACTGTTACTGAAGGCTGCATTACATTCTGCTAGGTGCAAATAATCATTTGCAGTTCTAAAAGCAGACAAACAGAAAACATATTACTGATAAAAAAAAAAAATGGCTTTGTATACAAGAGTACTGCAGATAGTGCAGCCTTACCTAATGTCCACCCTAATATTACTCATTTTATATTAAGATTTTGAAAATCTAGTTGGTATTGGTATGGCGAGTAACTTTCAGTAATAGTAATAAATCACACAACAATAGTACATTCATGTAGTTGTAGACAGCATGATAATATATTAAGCAATTTTTTTTTTGTTTTTGTTTTTGTGCAAATGTTTTGCTTTCTGTTCCGTTGCCTGTTTTCCTCTTTTTATGACGGTTGCTGTCTCGGGCAGGCAAAGAACAAAGAGGAGAGATCCGCCCTCCCTGTTAACAACTGTCACTAGTTTGCATTAGTTTTGGAGTTTTTATTTTAAGGGAAAAACATCCTACATTTACTTTTCTGCAAAGGTTTCAGGTGACAGAGGAAACAGAGAAAAATATACAACAAGCTAAAGTTTAACAGACAGAATGCAGATGAGAGAAACTCTGAGTTCATCAACATGCTCAAACCATCTGAGTCTCTATCAGTGATCACAGTGAACTCACAGATTTAATGTGATGTTGTGTTGAGCTATGTAACCTGACGGAAACTCGGATAAGGCATTCCTCTGCAGATGGTCTGTTAGCTGTTTGACAACTACTCTTTCAAGATTTTTTAGATAAAACAAAGGTTAGAGATTGGCCTATAATAAACTAAGACTGCTGGGTCAAGACGGTTGAACTACAGCCAGCTTGAAGGCCTGTGGGACATAGCCAATTCTGTCATGTTTTATAAAGCCTTAGAATTAAATTAAAGTGTAATTTAACACGATGGTTGTTGGGTGATTTGTACTGCATCAATGTTCTGCACAGTGTTAATCCATAAAAGAATCTGGGCCTGTACGTTCCTGTTTTACAATAGGAGGATCACTGATGCACAGTATTACTTATTTACAGTCATGTAAAGCAGAGGATTGTTCACTTCGTGAGAAACAGAGACAGACGTGAAAAACAGAGACACGCCAGAGATTACGTCTCAGAAATAACCAGCTGTCACAAGCAAAGCCATCTTCGTGCAAATGTTTTGCTTTCTGTTCCGTTGCCTGTTTTCCTCTTTTTATGACGGTTGGTGTCTCGGGCAGACGAAGAACAAAGAAGAGAGATCCGCCCTCCTTGTTAACAACATGTTTGGCCCAGCTCGTTTAAAGTCAAATTCCTGCAGCACTTTAGATGCAGGTACAAACATGCAGTTTGTTTAAGCCTTTAAGATCTACCATAGAACCAAGGCCGCCAGAGCTTACTTTATATTTTTACATGTTGTAGTGCCATTTTTGGAAGCATTTCAAGTATACATCAATACAACTGTTATAGCCCATATTCTAATCATATGTATGCATTAAGTCCATAGTAACTACATTAATTGCAAAAAAGTGCAATAAACTACAAAAAAAATGAAAATCGTTTGGGTTTTTTTTACATATATTTCTACTTGGAGAAATTTAAGAGGTTTATCCCTCAAAACTTTAAATACAAAAACAGTTGCAAAAAATAGTTTACAACAACAGGAAATTTATTTTGAGTGTCTTCATAGTTTTATTTTTGAGATACACCAATTTTTATATACTGCAGGAAAAACGAAAAACAATCCTATGAAACAAATTTGCAAAGAAAACAGCATGTGCATCAAAATAAACTATTTCCAGCAGTGCAATTTGAGTTCTAAGAATCACAGAAACTATTCAGAAAAGCATAAAGTCAAACATGACTTATAAAAACACCAGTATAAGCTTTTAAGGCCTACAAGTAAAAAACTACATTTTCCGCAAAAACGTCACCTCCGGTAATGGCGGACACGCGATAGTTCGCGCTGATGTCAATGTTATGCAGTTTTTGCAAAGCTATATGTGGAAGGAAACTGTGACCAAGGACAAGCTGATGGCATAAGATGTAAGTACAACTCCTCCGGTTTCATATGCAAAAAAAATTATTGCGCTAACTTACGCAGTTCTGATTCTACAGGGATTTAAAAATAGTTACGCAAAACGGAGAGCGTGCCCGCTCCGACCGGCTTGAAAGGGTTAAGCCTCACCCGTTAAAAATGTGAGTGGATTTTCTCCACCAAATCCTTTTTCCAAGGAACCATTAAAACCATCACATTTCCCAGAATTCTTTTTGTTGGTTTCTTATTTTGCACCTGACCTGTAGTAACCCCCACCCCCCCCCCACCCACCTCATTAAATCAACCTCCAATATTACTATATCTAATCCTTACACTGATGAAATGCAAACTGCCTCCAACACAGTAATGAGCTTTATTCTGCACTAGCTTTGACCCAGATCACCCTCTAAGTCTCCTTAATGTCTGTCGATTCCCTCTCATCATTCGCTTTCACTCTTCAGGACTTTACATTGCTGTCCCCAGGACCTGCTGATCGGTGCAGCAGCTCACCAGCAGTCATCATCACATGAGTAACTAATAAAACCTATTCAGCATTGATTTTAACAGACACCCTGTGAGAACAGAAAACAGTGCTAGAAACTATTTCCTTTCCTGAAAGTATGGAGGGTGTTTCTGGAAGGTGCGAATCTGGACAGGATGTGGTTTTTCCTATTGGTTGTGGAGGTGCTACAGGATCAGAGCCTTCCATGTCTGTGTGCCTCATCTATCTGAGGATGACACAATGCTTCATTCTACCGGGAATCAAACAGGACCTAAATTGAACAGATATCCTGGAAGTTTTCTGATATCCCAGATTTTCTCCTCTTCATTCTTCAGCTTCACCTCCTAAAAGATTTCATTCATTGTTCATATTGTGAGACAAAGTCTGAAGATCAAAATAGAAAAAAAAATTCTAAATATGATCACTATGACTCCAATATCTACTTCTTTTGTGTTGAATTTCATATTCTAACTCCACATGCACATTTGAGTTTGGACATCATCTTCACATTGAGTCA